AAACCCTTAAGAACCCATACCCCAAAAACCCTAAACCCCAAAAAACACCTAAACACTAAAAACCCAAAACCCTAAAAACCCTAAACCGTAAAACCCGTAAACAAATCCCTTGAAAAATGCCAACCATAGAACCACCTAAACCCTAAACATCTTAAACCCTGAAGACCCTAAACCCTAAAAACCCTAAACCCTAAAAACCCTAAACCCAAAAAAGCCTCAAACAAATCCAAAAAGCCCACTAAAAAACATAGAACCACCTAAACCCTAAAAACCCTCAACCCTAAAACCCTAAACTCTAAAAACTTTTAACCTTAAAAACCACCTAAACCTCCTAAACCCTAAAAACCCTCAGCCCTAAAACCCTAAACTCTAAAAACTCTTAACCTTAAAAACCACCTAAACCTCCTTAAAACCTAACACCTTCAACCCTGAAAACCCTAAAAACCCTAAAGCCTAAAAACCCAAAACCGTAACCACTCTAAAAAAATCCAAAAAACCAATTAAAAACCATAGAACCACCTAAACCCTAAAAACCCTAAACCCTAAAAGCCTAAGCCCTAAAAACTCTAAACTCTAAAATCCCTAAACCCTAAAGACCCTATACCCCCGAAAACCCTAAAGCCTAAAAACCACCTAAACCCTAAAAACCCAAAACCCTAAAAACCCTAAACCGTAAAAACCTTAAAAAATCCTTTCAAAGAAAATTCAAACCATAGAACCACCTAAACCCTAAGCACCTCAAACCCTGAAAACCCTAAACCCTAAAAACCCTAAACCCTAAAAAAGACCTAAACCCTAAAACCCTAAACCCCAAAAACAAACCCTAAACCGTAAAACCCTTCATGGGCATACTTCCTGAAGTCATACATTCTTCTAGGTTCAGCTGCATGCAAGCGAACATGAGCGCTATTGGAAGCTAGAGGTGAAATCATGTACACGTAGCATTTCGCCTCGAGCACCATCCAACATGTGAACCGGAAGAAAACCCTTTAACAAATTAGAACCATAGAACCACCTAAAGCCTAAAAACCATAAACCTAAAACCCTAAACCCTAAAAGCCCTAAACCCTAAAAACCCTAAACCCAAAAAACCTTAAACCATAAAAA